AAAAAAAAAAAAAAGTTGTCTGCTGCTGATTCCAAAGCTTCCTCTTTTTTCTTGAACCCTACCGACTGGCTTGTGGCTTCTTTTTCTTAAAAGATAACATTCTGTCTCCTTCAAATTGCTAAAATAAAGAATATAGTTTTTTATTTTATATAAAAAAATAATTCAAAATAGTGATTTGAAATGGGATTGTTTGGAGAGCTTGAATTATTTATAATAATAAGTAAATTTAAAAAATAAATCAAGTTTCTAAATGTTAGTTTGGTAAAAAATAATTTGACTTAGCTTTTTTTCTTTAAAAAAAAAAAAAAACACACAAGCAATGTAGGCTGAAAATGCACTTATATACACCTTCTCGCGGTACTTGAAAATACATTATAAGGCTCCACACACACATGTTTGTGTGTGTTTATTATAAATCTGTTATAATATAAACGTGGATGAATGATCTACTGAGCAAATTATATTTAGCTTATATTAAGCATTGATGACATGACTTATTAATTTATTGACGAATAAATTTATGTAAATCTCGACATTTGAATTAAATTTGTTGTTTATCAATGAATTGATATGATATGTCCTTGATGTTTCACATAAGATGTACGTCGTTATTCATTGGATCATTTATCTATAAATGTGAGTGCTTATTGGATATACTTAAAACATAGGAAATACATGAAGCTTAATTAGGGCTAATTTAAACAAGAATTATGCTGCAGTGCGAAAATGAATGATCAAAGGGGTGACCGATCCTCACATTGCTCGTGAGTCCCGAGTAAATAAAATACTAAATTTATTAAATGAGGGATGGGGTGGGACCCAAAATATAAGGGGATTGTCATGTGATGAGATTCAATGGGGCCCTCTTGAAAGTTGGCATGTGAATCTGTTGGAGGATGTCAAACCCTATTCCATGTGCGCCGCTGCAGGGTATCCCATTCACCCCCACTCCTTTCTTTCTTTATTACCATGCAGTTCATGCATGTGAATTAAATCGTGAAATGTGTATTTATTACTTTTAAATGGACATTCATTTAGTGAAATTTTTTATCTAGGCTCATTTTTATCAATCGTTGATAAATATTCAAGATATCCACAGGCACCAAAACTTTGAGTTTTGGGGCAAACTATGCAAATAGTACTAAGGTTAGGGACTAAAGTCTGAAGTTAAAAGTTGATTATTTATTTGCTATGTCCTATGGATATAGACTAATTGTGCAAATTTTCATTTTAAAAAAAAAAGGGAGGGAGGAAATTAATAGTGTGGCTAATGGAATCGAACCCATGTTGTTTGCAGCAACAAAGTAAATTTTTTATCACTACGGTATACACTTGCTCTTGCCAAGAAAAAAAATTAAAATTGTTGCCAAACGATCAATCCTCCCGGCCCCTTGTAACTCTACCCTTGTTCACAAGTACTGCACACTTATCCACCTTTATTTATAATTATTTCTAATTTAAATTATTTGTACACGTCCTGAACTTGCTACTATCGTTTAATCAATTTAATTATCGTATTATAGTATATTCAAGTTATTTGAGCGTCGATCGAATTATTTGGGCTCTCTCGTTATAACGGGACAAGGATTACTTCGATCAAGAGACATACTAAAGAGGTAATCTTAACTAGCAGAAAACTAAAATCTTGATGCCATTTGGGCTCCCAAATTGAGTTGGTTGTTTCTCAACTTGCTTTCCAATGTTAGAGATGGCCTTACAATGGGAAGCAACCTCCCAACAGAGATGGTGTTATGATCTCGTTGGAAGTTCTGATATTTTAGAAGAACGAACTTCAGTCTTCCTTCTCTTTTCAGGGCCTATCCGAAAGAGAATTAAGCTAACAATACGATTGTATACTCCAACAAGTCGGAATGCAATGGGAAATGACCTTCTTCATGATAGTTTCTTATGAGAATCATGAATTCCGCTATCATTTCCCATCCTCAAAGCTAAGACTAAAGAATCACCAGAGCGACGATGACATGTTTGAAGAAGAGGCGGTGCCCTCTAATCTAGGCGTACCACTCTACCTACTAATGGACTTTGAGGAGGCTCGTGTACAAGCCATGATTGAAAAAAAGAACTTGCAGTACGACGATGGTATCAAATATACACTAATCCTATTTTTCTACATGATTGACGGTTGACATCTCTTCTAATTAGTTCAAGCGTAGTTTTCATAAATAAGTGAAGCTCAATATTTTTTCCCTTTGTTACATTATTTTGAAGTTTAAATTATTAAAACAAATCAATCTATTATTATTTTTTCAATAACCATCACAAGTGACAGGAAAACTAAACCCGAAAGTCCAAGTCTAATCCCACGGGTGGCAAGGCCCACGTCCCACAATCAACATTTAATTCCTCACACGTGTGTACCATCTCTGATTTAATGCTCACTCGTCCTTAGAAGTTACTTTTATTTTTACAATAATTAAAAAAATATAATTAATATAATTGAAAATATAAATTTTATTTATTATACTCCTACATTAAATAATAGTTTAAATATGAGTAATTTATATTTGTTAATATCAATATCGCTTTTTAACCAAAAATAATAATAATTATATGTGATTGTCTCCACCATTTGAGTTGTAGAGTAATTATAAAAAAATAAAAAAAAAATCAATTAAAATATTTGTAAACATATTTAGTACATTCGTTGAATCAAACGGAATTTACTTGACATAAAAAAATACCACAAACGTTACGTCTGGACGAGGGCTATGGAGAAGGAATAAAAAACTAATTGGTCCTTGTTTAGC